AATAGAGCATTCTGAGGCTTCCTCCTGCAACCTCGAGCCTTCAGGCACAATCTTCTTGTGCTGCTGTCTTTCTGGATTAATTCCTGCCGATCTGGAGTTTGTTTTGCAAATATCCGTGACCAATCCCAACCGTCCTGCCTTCCTTCCTTGGCCAATGTCCGTGCGTGCTGAATGCAGCCTTCTTGGTCCTGGGCTGTTTTGATGCTGGTGCTGCTTCATTAGGCTGGTTATTTTTATGTTCTCGGAAAAGCACGGAGTGGAAAGAGAAATTGTTATGTAGCTACAGTGAGAAGAGCTGCGGGCGGCAGACACAGCAGGCCCTCCTCCCAGCACTCTGCCTGGAATTGGCATATGCACCCAGGCATCCACAAGCATCTCGGTGCTAACCTCTCCCTCTGCAGAGGAGCCTTTCTAAGTGCTCACGTCTCCAGATCGGCTCCGGAGCGTGCTGCCCCCTGAGATGGAGATTTCAGCGGAAGAGTTGCAGACAGCATCAAAACGGACACTGCTGTGCCTGAGTCTTTTAGGACACCCTCCTACTCACCTGCCAGCAGCTGCAAGCTGAATCATGGGGCCTTGCCACGCACAGGGCTGCGCTGCCCGTTGCGGAAGTGAAACCACGTCGTGCGCAGTGCGGGGGAGATGGAGGGAGGATCATTCCAAGGCCCAGCTCCAAGGCCCTGCAAGAACTCTGGCAGGAGCTCCTGCCCTGCCCTCCTTGCAGCTGGTGGGCGGATGGCCTCCCCAAGGTCGCGACTCGGCCTCAGGGAAGCGGGAAGGGTGAGTCAGGACTGGGAAGAGAACGGGCTTGCTTGCTTGGAGTCCAAATAATGCCCCCCCCCCCACCTCCCTGGAACTTTATCTACAGCCGAAAGAAAACAGCTGCCTCGAGTCAAGACATCATGTGCGAATGGCAGCCTTGGTGATCACTGTTTCCACAACAATTTACAATCTGTGCCAAGTGGGGAATGCTGCTAGAGGGCAGCGGATTGTAGCATTAATGTTTAAGATCTCTGGATTAACAGGTTGGAAATAGGTATGGGCATTGTTTGGTCCTCATTTGGACATCCGTTTACACATTACATGTCTCCCAGGCATGTATGTGGGACATGTGGGAAATGTGATCCCAAGTCTGCCCTCCCCAACCTTTTGTAATGCAATTCACAACTCAAAAATGGATAGGAAAAACCATATATTATGGGAAGCATAAATAAACATACATTATACTTGAGAATGACCGTTTGCAAAAGGTTTGCACCCGAGGAAGAGAGTGTAAAAAAGGTATATATGAAAAGTGCAAACAAAAATACTTAATTTGCATCCACATCCGAGAGATTCCAGAGCCCTCCAGCACAAGTCCAGTTTGGCTCCCTGCTCTGCCAGTGCCAGGCCTATCTTGTCTCAGCACGACCACGCTGTCCCAGCCTTACCTGGCATTTGACAAGCACCACCCTATAGCCTCCAGGCCTGAATCTCAGAAAACCTGGTGATGCAACTGTTTGTCAGTTATTTGGTCTGATAAACTGATTAAAAAACTTTTGATTGACTACCTAAACACCCCCAAATGTCAGTCAACACTTTTTGAAAAAGGTTAATTATTTTTAATGCAACAATTATGAAAACTGCAGATGGCAGGGCTTTCTTAAAAGAAGCACTCCCTCTTCACTCTTGCATAGGAAATTATGTACATGTGCGCATTTTATAATGCACCATCTGCTATAAGAGAACGGCAACCGATGCCTTAGCAATCCCATAGAGATTGCCCCGGAAACCGCTGCACAGAAAGTTGCTGTATCATTATCTATCAAAGTATTTATAAAAATGTTCGATGTTCTAATTGGGCCCCAATGCTTCTTTTGACATAGCAGGTTTTAACAGTATGTTTTCTTCCTATGAAACACCCAAGGGGATACAGTTTTGGGATGCAGTTTTGGGACTGTTCTTAGTTAAGGCGCACTTCAAATCCCTTGCTTTTTATAGGCTAGTGACTCCAATACTTGATTACACATAAAATTTAAATGTCTCTTGAAGAGTTTCCGCATAAGAAAATTCAGATGAGGCAAAGTGTGAAGTTTCCATCACAGTGTCTTTCTCCTTCAGAAGAGTCTAAAGATTCAAATCATTAGACATTTCTTCTTTGCTTTCTGTGCCTGATCCTTTGATGTAAATAAGGTTTTGCAGAAATCAGTTTGAAATCTACAGAGCTGCTAAATTAACCCATCTCTGTGAATTAGAGAAAGATGCCTCACAAACTGGAACATACAAACTCTAGCATCTGCTATTTTTATATCCTTTATGCTCAGTCAGATCTAATGTACTAACCACAACCTCATTTAACCGCTCCTCCTTGGACGACATTTCCTGATCGTTTGGCCCAGTTATTGCATGTATCAGCCTGCTATCAGATGTTAGTCCTTTCTTGTTTCTGCTCCCATCCGCCCTGCTGTGAAGTCAGCTCCAATGGGCTTTGCCACACCTGTCAACCAGGAATAATACCAGCTGGCTGAAGCAAAGAAAGAGAGGACACCTCATTTTTCTAACCCTGACCCTACCCTGGGGCACACCCCTAACCCTAATATAGGGCTAAAGTTCCATTGACAATAATGTGATTTTGTAAAAGCCTTCCTTGAGTAGCTTTTTCTGCACAGCTGAACATCTCTGCCCATCCTAAACACATTCCAACCATCAGAACCATGCCAGGACACCTCATTTTTCTAACCCTGACCCTACCCTGGGGCACACCCCTAACCCTAATATAGGGCTAAAGTTCCATTGAAAAGAATTTTGAAAAGGCCCTCTTGAATAGCTTTTTCTGCACAGCTCATCATTTCTGCCCATTCTAAACACATTCCAACCGTTAAAATCTTACCAGGACACCTCGTTTTTCTAACCCTAACCCTACCCTGGTGCACACCCCTAACCCTAATAGAGGGCTGAAATACCATTGGAAATAGGGTGATTTTGAAAAAACCTTGAGTAGCTGTTTCTGCACAGCTCATCATTTCTGCCCATTCTAAACGCATTCCAACCATCAAGACTATGGACACCTCATTTTTCTAACCCTAACCTTGGTGAACCTTTTAGAGACCGAGTGCCCAAACTGCAAAGCAAAACCCACTTATCACAAAGTGCCAACGCTGCAATAAAACCTGAAAACTGAGGTTTTAGTTTAGAAAAAACAACTCACAGCCAGTCCAAGCAAATATATATATAGCCTGGGCAGCACACTGACCAGACATGCAGAAGCTTGGACGATTCGCGGCCAATGAGTCGCAGCTTGTGACATCATTGCCTGGCACCACTACTCCTTTCCGAGCATTCACATGGCCCTTATGTGCACTGTTATCTGATGCTCGGCTGCTGGGGTGACTTGGCTCGCGTGCCCATGGAGAGGGCTGTGTGTGCCCATGGAGAGGGCTCTGCATGCCATAGGTTCACTGGACTAGGGTATATACACACAAAAAAAGAGGAAAGACTGAACTGATAGCCAGTTATGTTGGTTAGAGCCAAATGATAAGGGAACCTTTGTTTGAACTTCTATAAGTTTTATTTATTACATTTGTATACTGTCCCACAGCCCATTTGGTAGGTTACAATTAAAATACATACAGATAACAATAACATAATCAAAGTTAACTAAACAAAAACAATAATGCCTGTATAGCAACAGTCGACAACCTACAGCAGTTAAAATAGAATTAACATTGTAGCAGATTAATAAAAACAGAAACCAATGTGAATCCTGCCAGAAATTCTTTACTTTCTTGAGTCTCTGAAGTAGAAATATCAGGTCTACTGCATGCTGTGTATTATTAATTTGTATTATCTCAATCAAATAATTGATTTCAGTCAAATCATTGAAATGCAATGCGACAATAACATTAACAAGAGAAAAAGGACCTATAATGTACTGTATTTTCTATTCAGTTGCAAGGAGGCCAACCTCAGTCTGGCCTGCACTGTATCAGATGCAGGGGGAAGAGTAGCACACTTGGAAAGACCACCATTTTAAAAAGCCCAGGCCACTTCCCAGGAAGCTAGGAAGTGAGGCAGGTGGCTGGGTGACAACACCTTCCCCTACCACCGTGTTGAGCTTTTGGGGGAAGTGTGGAAGCATCACCCCCGTCAACACGTGAGCTTCCCCACTCAGTCTGAACCGCTGCCATCCTGACCGCTGGCTGAATGCCCCTCCCTAGCAAGCCGTCCTGCTTGAGAAGATGCGCAGAGCAGGCGCCCTTTCCTCCTCCATGCTGCGATCCTAAGCATGCTTGGGCCGAGGAAGGCCCTGCAACTCCCAGCCCGCCCAGGCGAGCCATACTAGCAGCTGGAGGCCTTTTTTCTGCCTCGACTGTGCCTGGCGTTGCCGCCCCCCCCCCCTTGCTTCAAGTAGGGCTGCTCCGTCGGTGGCTCGGTTCTCATTCCACAGGAGACACGTTCGGTCGTGCGAACCCACCCTCAGAGCTGCCACGGGGTAATCAGATCTGGGCCGGGAGAGCCGCCTTCCCTTAGGAACACAGGAAAAGCAGCTATTTTCCAAGCGGCCTGCCCCCGCAGGAGGCTTCCCTCGCGCGCTTCCTTTGTTTTTTGTTTTCACGTGAGTTAATAAAAAATAAGCCCCGCTCCACGGAAAAAGGGACTGTCCTCTCTCTGAGATGCGGCGGCGGTTAGAACCGCCGAACTGCGTCGCTCTCTTTTCAAAATGGACACCCCGCTCGAGCGGCAGAGGGGCCCCTCTCTCTCCCGGTCCTCCCGACTCTATGGTCGGGGCCGTTTGGTGTTGGTTTTTTTTTTCCAAAAGCCGCCGTCCGGCGAGTCACTTCGGCATACGAGGAGGCGGCAGCGAAGGAGCATGCGCAGACCGCGCGAGGAGGAAGCGGAAGCGCTGCCTCTGTCGCGCGCCGCCCGCCAGCAGCCAATCAGCGGAGTCGCCTCTTGCGTCGCGCGCGTCCCCTCCCCGTGACGCTTCTCTCTCTCTCCTCTATCCACACTCCGTTTCCGGCCCCGAGTTCCTTAGTAACAATGGAGCATAAAATGGCCGCCTGAGAGAGCGGAGGGGAGAGAGGAAAGGGAAGGGGCGAAGGAGGAGGAACGGACGAGCGACGGCAGCGAGGAAAGCGGGACGCGACGGAGCTGCGCTTCAGGCCGCTGCGGGGCACGGACGGACGAGACCCCGGAAGGGCGGAGAGAGGAGAGGGTGAGGGGCCGGGCCGGGCCGGGGGAGGCGACGTCAGTGGCGGTGGCTCTCGGGTGGGAGGGCAGGCCTTGCTTGGTTCGAGGGCCGCCGCTTCGTTCTTCTTGTGGAGAAGACGGGCGGGCAGGCAGCCGGCAGAGGCCTCCGGACTGGTCTTCGCAGGCGGGGAGGGACGCGCGAGGCGAAGGCGTCTCATCGGGGCGGCGACGTCAGGTCAGGCCGCGGATCTTAGAGGAGCGAGGAGGAAATGCGGAGCTGGCCCGCCATCTCGCTGGGCCAAGGCCTCGCCTTCTGCTTCTTCCGTGACTCGCCTGCTCTTAGTTGGTGTCAGGCCATCTATGCGCGTGTGAACTAATGGGCCGTACTCGGAGTCAGCTGGCTGCGATCGCTTCATGGGGGTCTCCTTAAAATGTGTTGTAGGTCTCTCCTGCCTGCCCCCTTTTCCCACCCAAGCAAGTACGATCCCGCTAGAGTGGGATCTGTTTTTCGTAAATCTGTTGTGCCTTTTGGGTCTGTCCAAGAAGTACACCTTCTGCCCTCCCACTTCCCCCAAGCACGCACGCACACACACACACACACCCTATTGCCTTGAATTAGACATCCTTAGCAGGTCAATCTTCATGTGAGTGTTTTACTGAAAAATGAAACCTCACCTCTGGAAAAGAAAGCATTCGCTAAGATCTGGAACTAAAGTTTCGTATTTGGTCAGGGTTTTAATCAAGAGATTGTGGGACTTCATCGATATGCCTGCTGACCTGCGATTTGTGTTGGCAGAATGTCTAGCAGGAAAAGCTCACCCAGAATTAACATTCCTCTGAAGTTCAGACTTCCAAAGTATGATCTCTTCTTTTTCTGTGTGAAAACCCTCCTCCCCCACCCCTTTCCCCTGTTTGGTGGAATAAATCTCAACATACCAGAAAGGAGAGGATGATCCTGTTGCTGTGTGTTCACTTTCCAAGGTTTTACCCTTGTCAGAGACATAACCTTTCCTTGTTTCTTGACATTTTTAAGAATGTAAAGTAGAGATGATCCAGAACACAATCATGTCAGTGTTAAATCAGAATTCAGTTGACTCACAGTTCAAATTATTGGACCTGAATAATCAGAATTCTGTTTATAATAGTTGTGGTGTCATTAAACCAGTTTCTACCAAGACCTTGGAATAAGTAGCTTTTAAGTTAAGTTGAAGGGGTTAGAACACTTTCAGGCATGTGGTTCTCTCCCCCCCCCCCCAAGAGATGACACTGACCCACAGGAAGTAAGTTAAAAAGATACTGTTAAGTCATGCTGTAGTCAGTACTTCCTTCCATCCGCTGCTCTGATTGTTTAATGTGAACTAGTTGCTCCATGGGTAGGAAGCATCACAGTGTTACCATATTTGTTGACCTGAAATGCCTTTCATTTGGGAAAAAATCTGCCTGAATGTGATTTATTATCAGTGCTGGTGATCTTCAAAATTCAGGTGATTATGAAATAGTTTAAAAGCTGGGCTGCTCCTGATCTTGGAAGGAAGGGTTTCAGTTGCTTATGGATGTCTCGTCTACTAAGTGGCCAGTTGCTACAATTGCTTATGTGTGATCGGATGGTCCAGTACTTAAATACTGCTAATGTCAAACTATAGAAGGCCAACTGGTGTTTTGTGGCAGTATTGTGAATGATGCTTAATGTAAACGAAAAGGTAGGACTTGCATTCTGCTCCAAACAACTCATAGTGAACCAATTGGCACAACCAGGCAAACTGTTGTGGGTTAACTTACCCATGAAGGACTGTGGTATACACTAGCTACTGTTAAGAATATGTAGGCCCCAGCTGGTGGGGGCGGGGTGTTGTGGCTTTTCTTGTAAACCCAGTCAGCAGGGATTATTTGAGGGTTCAGTACAGGTTGTTTAACCCTCAAAGAACCCTGGCAGGTCAGATTCAGATGACATGACCAACCATAGGAGCCCCCCGGCCAGGACTTGCATAATTATAATAGTGGATGGCACTTTTTTCAGTGATCTGAGGATTAATAGACCAAAAGTGGACGATTGTGTCTTCCAAACGAGAAACTACCCATTAAAGTCTGCTAATCAACATATAGTGTTGTCGCAGTTGGGTTAGGGTCAGGGATTTGGCTTATGGGCTAAACCCAAATGCTTTGCAGAAGATGAATTTGAAGCAAGTGAGAAAGACGGCACCCTAATGGTATTGTGGGATAGTTCCAAGCATGAAGAATAGGAAGATAGAATTGCTGTGGTTAAGATGACCTGAAGAATCCACAGTTGTTTTAGAATCCACATTGCCATAGATAAGTTGTTTTCTTATCTATGGCAATGAGCCATCCAAATCTTCCTGCCAGCACAGTAGAGGAAAAAGCTACTGTGGCAAATTGGGCCAGTGAGTAGTATTGTTTGAGAGGAAGAAACTTTTCAAAACTGGAAGTGGTACAATTAAAGGAGGGGAAACTACAGCCAGGACTTAAAAGAAACAGTAGTGGTATATCAAGGCATTTTGATTTAGAAGAATGATGTTGTATGCCCTTCTAAAAAAACTTGCCTGTGTCTAATGCTGTTAGATAGTTACCACAAGAAGCATTTATTTACAATTGTAATCATTTGTCATCCTAGTAAATAATTGACTATTTCCCATTCTGTTTAATAACTATTAAGCTTTATTTCCCTCCAGAAGTGTCAGGACTGCTGAAGATGCAGTATCTCACACCCTGCCAAGCTCAGGAATAAAAAATCAGGACAGGCAGCATTTGGACTTTTCAAATTGCATAATTGGTTATAACAACTTACTGGGACATGAAGGCCATTTTAAAGGAGAGTTGTTCCCCCCAAAGGTCAGAAAGCAATGTAATATAACTCAGATTTGCCACCAAGGGTCTCTTCTTAATAATTTTGCTATTTACTTTTTCTATTATTACATTACATTTCTATACTGCCCATACCAAAGCTCTCTGGGCAGTCCACAACATTTAAGTCACCCATCCAGATTTCAATCAGGCCCCACCCTGCTTGGCTTCAAAGATTAGGCAGTATCAGTCACTTCATGCTGTACAGAAGCAATTAAAAAATTTCAGACCTGTTTTAATTGTTCTTTTTTAAAGGAAAGCTCTTTGTGGCATTATGCATATGTAAAGAAGCAGGAGGTGTAGAGAAACGGGCTGTTCCTTTGCTAGGAATATAGATTAAGTGATACCAAACTTTTGTGTTCATAAGCACAGGGTTTGGAAAGCTAAAAGTTAGCTTTTAAAGGTATTTCTTTAAATTCCTATGATACTTTACTGACTAGCATTGTGACCTTGTAGTTTCAGTCGCAGAACAATGAAATCATTGCTTGTTGCCAGAGTGAAGTGATAAGAGTGTAACCTTAAGCATCTTGCCTGAAAAACAGTGGTTGTGATCCTCTGAGGTGACCCCGAGAAGGGGTGTGAGAAGGGGAGCAGCCATTACTATGGAAGAAAAGCATAACCAAACCCAGATATGCCTGCTTATTTTGGAGAGCAAGGATGAGCAACTTGTGGCATTCCAGATGTTGAGACTGAGGATTGTGGCATGACAGCATAGCTGCCTTAAAATACTGGAAGATGTTGTAGATTTTCTGTTTTTAATCTTATATGTTAGATATTGGCTTGCTAACTACTATGTCTTAGGATGGAGTACATTTCTGAGAGTCTTCTCTATCCATCCTAAATGATAGGCTTGTAAAGATCTACTCAGCAGGTCACGTGTTATAATTTCTTCCAGGTAATGAGCAGGAAAAAATATTTTAGGGTCACTGCTCTTCCACCAGTAACAAAAGTATCAGTTCTGGGGTAGTCATTTTTATATTTATTCCTAGCTTAATACAGAACTCCCAAGATTTCAGCTTACATGGAGAGCATTTCCTGTCATTACTGTTATAAAAGAATTGGCTAATACTAAGAAATATTGTTTTCCAACAGGAAGAAACCACGTTAATATGACAGTTGCTTGAGGAACTGCAGACCCTTCTCTAGATCTAGGGAGATTAACTTTTAATTAGCCAATCTGTGGTGTGCCATTTTTTTATCTGCATGTAAGAGGAGTTCCCTTAAAGCTAGGAACTCAGGGTCGGTATAACTTCAGGTACTGTCATTACCATATATCTGCATGGTATTACTCATAGGACCTGGCAGGAGCTTCTGCTTTGCTGAAATAGGAGTCATGTACTTTTTCCTGTTTACAGCTAGCAGCATATTTGGCTCCTAGACAATGTTCTTTAATTGCTAATTGCTAAACTGCTGCAGGAATTAATTGTTGAAATTTAGAAAGCAATGGTCATCTTGAATGTTTGAAGAAGTTCTTGTGTTTTAATACTTCTGCTACAAGAATCATACAAGTTTACAGTTGGCATTTGGAAAGTTGATTGGACAACCACTCAGCATAGATGATTGCTTATCTTTTTTCCATTTCATGGGGGTGTTACTTGCAAGTAAAATTCTTCTAGCCCTGTGAAAGTCAAGGCCATCCAGGCAGTGTAGCAAAGCTCCCACGTATCTGCCAGAGAAGTGCAGGCGTCTCTAGACTGGAACATAAGCCGTCATAAGTGAGAAGGACCACTGCGCAGTGAATAGCACAGCCTCCTTCAGTCTAGTTCCTGTCGGATGTTGTTGGACCCATCATGTCCGGAGTGTATGAGCAGTGGTCAGAAATAATAAGATGCAATGCAACACTTCTGGGGGGGAAGGCTGGAGCCGATTGCTCGGTTAGAATAGGGAAACCAGGTTCAAGTTCTGACTTAGCTATCAAGCTGTTTCGCTGAGGTTGACTCAGTTGTGTACTCTAAGGCTAATCTTGCTCGCGTGACGGTTGTGAGAACAAAATGGGAAGGGCTTTGAGTAGCACCATGAGCTCCTTGGGAGAAAAATGGAAAATAAATGTAGTTCATAGCATTTTTTTAAAAAAGTTTGCCAGTGTTCTGCAATAGCAGCACCCTTCATTTTTTGTAACTAGCGGACCTTGCACTTGACAGTCAGCTTTTTAGGATGCATAACACATTTCTTTTAATAGGCTCAGTATTGAAACTTGAACCCTCCTAAGGATTTTCTAGAGTAGCTTCATGCTACATGTTTTTTCCCATACTTCCATTAAGATATGATAGGACATGGCTGCTGAGATGGTGGTAACAAGAATGAGAGTCACGTAATTTTTAGTGCAAAAATGGTTGCTTGCAGTAGGGCAGAATAACAGTATAGAAGCCTCCACTGTAAAGTGATTCAACTTGAATAAGTAGTTCTGATGGCCACAGATCGACTAGGAAGCACAGCGACTCTGTAGTTGGAGGGTGAAGGTATGCTGGGTAAACGCAGTGTCACTTCTGCCGCTTTGATAGTGACTTAATTGCCTGTAGCAGGGATAGGCCACCTGCTGCCTTTCCAATGTTTTTGGAATATAACTCCTGCCAGTCCTAGTCAGCATGGCCAAAGATGATGGAATTTATAGTCCCAAACATCTGGAGTGCACCAGGTTGATCAGATGACTTCACATCATTGGCTGCCAGTAGCATGTATGAAAAATTAAATGGTGGGTTTCCAAAAATGTCCTCATGGTCACATTCTCTTTAACAATCCATTGGACTTGATGATTCTCAAATCTACAAATGGTTCTCCTAGGCTTTGGTGGCAACGCTATAGGGAATATTGTGTTACCTCTAGTTAATAAGATTGCATTCTCTTAATATGGACAATCAAAAGCCCTCTGTCTGGAGGCACTGGGTAGTGGAATAGATTATTACAGCTAGGAACTAAAAACTAAATTTGAATTCTGCATGGAGGTGATCCAAATTTTTTATCCTTTCTCTAAATACAATCAGGCAACTTTGCCTATTCTTTGCTTGGCATAATTCTACAGTTTTCACTATGCTATGTGATGACCAGGCTTCACCACAAAACACTTGCATGTACACAAATAAAACAAATGTTAAAAACTGGCAGCTGCTGTCTAAAGTTGCATAAGCTGATATTCAGGCAATAAAGGGAACATTGGTCAATTGCCTCTTAAAAGACTTGGATAATAAAAAGTCTTAACCTGTCACCCAAACATAAAAGAGTCAGCCTGCTGAAATTGCCCGGGTATGTTAAATGAAAATGCACTTTCTCTGGTTACTTCTTGCTTCTGGTAGTGCAGCCACTTATAGGGTGGGCATCTCAGTCATTCTTAAGTTGTAGCTGGAGTCTCTGCTAGTTATGGGTATAGGAGAGAAGCACGTACAGGATGTGGAAAACCCATTCTTGGAGCCCTGGAAAACCTTCAGCCATCTGCTTCCTAAATGTCTCCAGCAGATGCCATAGGAACTGGCTTGTTAGTGGCTTTTAAAAAGCCTAAGAGACCAAGGAAGCTGATTTCTGCAACCATTATTGCATTCCGTGGTTTTTCTCTGCTTCTGCAAAATGTTGGCACATGTACACCCTTGATTAAAGGTTTAGCTCTTGTGGTATATTGGGTGAGGATTTCTAGGACTCCCCAGACAATTTGGCTGTTCTTCTTTTTTGTAGACATTATTCCTACTCTTATCAACATGGAAAGCTCAGATTCTAATAAAGGAAGCATCGATCAATCTGAAGCACAGCGTCGAAGTCAGCTGGACCGATTGGATCGGGAAGAAGCATTCTATCACTTTGTAAATAATCTGAGTGAAGAGGACTACAGGCTAATGAGAGATAACAACTTACTAGGCACCCCTGGTATGTTTACTTTGGTGGATTTGACAGGTACTAGACATACAATGGGGAAGAGATTTTGCCACTGAGTTGGATGTGGTGGGGGGCTGGGGCTGGATCAAGAGGATACCCACCATTTTATTTTTAAACTGATTCTGAAAATCAGCATTTAGTCTTGCTGTAATGCTGCTAAATGCCCTGTTTAATCTCGGCGCACAAGCTCCCTTTCATGTTGAAGCAAGCTTATTAAAAATGTTCCATTAGTTCAACTAATATTGGATCTTGCATATGACCATGCTATTGAGCCTACAAACCTTAATCTCCTTAATGAGGATCTGCATTAAAAAAAAAAACACCTTTCTGTATTTTGCTGCGGCTTTGTTCTTCAGACTCCCTCTCTTAACTATATTAAATAGAACTTTTTTTTAAAGTTAAGCACTGATTGGGGTGGTACAGGGAACTAGGTAGAAAAATCCTGGTGAATGTTGATCTGTGGTGGTGCCTGAACAAAGCTTTACAAAACTGGCACAATACTGGAAGTCACAAGTTCTCTTTCAGTGTGTTGGTGACGTGTGTTGCTGGCACAAGTGTTTCCCTTTAAATGCTGGCACACTTGAAAACTCAGTTTGTCACCTCATCTTTGCCCTTCCTCCCCACAACTCATGTTTTGTTGCTACTTTGTTTAGAAGGAAGTCTTTTAAAATAGAGATAGGGCAAAATATAGATGCTTTGAATAAAAAGTACCCTGATATTAAGCAGAAAAATGTTACGAATAGCATTAACTGTAGTGTTCAATACCTTGGTGAATGCATTTCTGCTTTGGTTCTGCTAATGTTGCAGTTTTGCAATATGGATTCTTGGATCTGTAGATGCTTTATCTGGAACACGTCTTGCATCCTCAGGTGAAATTACCGAAGAAGAGTTGTTAAGAAGACTGCAGCAAATCAAGGAAGGTCCTCCACAGCAAAACATGGATGATAATAGAGGTATGTAATGTTCATCTAAAGCTCTTCTGGAAAGGATTGTGCTAGAAACCAAGGGGTTAGAAATGCTGTAGCTTCTGTGCAAAATGCCAGTAACACCCCCCCCCTTACTGCTTTTACCTTCTGAGTGTGCTCATATCTTTGTAAATTACATTTTATTTCATCCTTACTTCTTACCATAATAAAGCAGTTCATTCTCTTGCTTGTCTTTTTGTACCTGACTAAAGCTGTTTTGAGCCAAAACAGATTGACTAAGATCCAGGTCTCATGGGAAGCAAGCCTTAAACATGTTGTTGGATAGGCAAGAAGCATGCCAGCTTACACGCGTGGTTAGAACACCTGGGGTCTGTCGCTGGCCGGGTGCTCCGCTCGTGTGCGAACGTTAACATGCGCAGTGGCCAATGGACTGGGTTCAGCAGGCATACGCATGCACGGTTGAGTGCTTAGCTGCCTGTTGTTACACTGAAACTGAGCTCTGTCGGGGTGGCCTTTCATTACACGTGCATAGGTTGTATAGCTTCAGGGTGACTGTTTAACTTGGATCTCCTCCGTCAGTCACAGTTGATGGTATATCAATAAAACTGTTCCAATATGAGATCCCCTCTTGATCATCGAAGAGGTGACCTTCGAAAAGGAGCCGTTCATCTCACTGCTGCAGAATAAGAGCTGCACCTCCAGGACAGCCATAGGCAACAGTACCGGCACCTGAAGCAAGCTCCTTCCAGTTCAGGTCCTGCGGCTCGCTGTTCTGTACTGCGTAACTTTTATAGAACCGGTGTCTCGAGGTGTGTGTTGTCTGACAGAAACGGCATTGTGTGGAGTTTGGGGATGGGGGTAGGGGAATGAGTTACCCTGTTTGCAGTTTTGATTTTGCTGCCTTGATTCACTTAGTGGAACACAGAGCTTATGTGGGCGTTGGGCTGCACATGAAATGACAATGCTTAAATGAGTAAATACTTGAATGTGAAAGTCTTGCAGTTTTTAAATCCAAAACTTGTATTGAACCAAGAATTGCTCCAGTTTCCTAACTCTGGCAGTTACTCTCATCTGGCAGGTGCAGACTCCACTGAAGATGTATCTAATGGCGATTCCATAATAGATTGGCTCAATTCAGTTCGACAGACTGGGAATACAACACGAAGTGGGCAAAGAGGAAACCAGTCTTGGAGGGCAGTAAGCCGGACTAACCCAAACAGTGGGGATTTCAGGTTCAGTCTGGAAATAAATGTCAACCGTAGTGGTGGGAACCCTAACCCAGAAGCTGAGGGGGAGCCGTCTGTAGAACCATCTGGTGGAGAGGATCTGAGAAATCACCAGAGCGACACTGAGACTCCGCAGTCTGACTCTCCTCCAGCTGTAAGGCAGTCCGGGCCCGAAATGGGTCCTCCTGAAGCGCTGAATGAGGAGGTCGCTCCTCAGAGAGGCCAGAGAAGGTCAAGAAGCAGAAGTCCGGAGCACAGAAGGACACGAGCGAGGACTGATAGAAGTAGATCGCCCCTCAATCCAGCGAGCGAATCTCCTCGTAGGGTTCATCATAATGCATCATCCCAGGCACCTGATCTTCCTCCCGTAGGTGAAGCGGAGGGAAGTTCTCGAACAAGGCAGCACATGGTGATAAGGCAGCATACCGCATCTTCTGATATGCCCAGCGAAAATACAGTGCTATTTTCCACCCCTGAAGCAAGGCCTGTTCCTCCAGCAACAAGTTCTTTAGACACCAGTGGCAGCCCGGAGTCTGCATCTCCCGGACAGAGACCGCCAACGATCGTCCTTGACCTGCAAGTGAGAAGAGTCCGTCCAGGAGAATATAGGCAGAGGGACAGTATAGCCAACCGAACTCGATCAAGGTCCCAGACCCCAAACAATACTGTCACTTACGAAAGTGAGCGTGGAGGGTTTAGGCGCACATTTTCACGCTCCGAAAGGGCTGGAGTGCGAACTTACGTCAGTACCATTAGGATTCCTATCCGTAGAATCTTGAATACAGGCCTGAGCGAGACAACCTCTGTCGCCATTCAGACCATGCTACGGCAAATAATGACTGGCTTTGGTGAGCTCAGCTACTTCATGTACAGTGACAGCGATACAGATCCTGGAGGCCCAGCCGCCAACCCAAACGTGGAAATGGCAGAGCCGCCCAGCGGAGGCGGCAGCGGAAATAGTTCGACCAGTGAAGTTCCTGATGCTGGGCCGGGGGAGGGGTATGAAGGCGGCAATGAAGGCGGGCCTGCAGCTGGTACTAGGCGGGAAGGACGGAATGCGAGGGGCTCAGTGACTTTTGAAGAAAGTGGCTCTCTGCCATTCCTTAGTTTGGCTCAGTTTTTTCTGCTTAATGAAGAGGACGACGACCAGCCGAGAGGGCTCACCAAAGAGCAGATTGACAACCTAGCCATGCGGAATTTTGGTGAAAGTGATGCTCTGAAAACCTGTAGTGTTTGTATCACGGAATACACAGAAGGCAACAAGCTTAGGAAATTACCTTGTTCTCACGAGTATCACGTACACTGCATAGATCGCTGGCTGTCAGAAAATTCTACCTGCCCGATTTGTCGCAGAGCAGTCCTGGCTTCCAGTACCCGAGAGAGTGTTGTCTAAGCAAGTGTGAACTCCCAGCTGAGGACATGGTGAGCAAATGATGGGCAAAGAAGCCATTCTTATGGCCACCTTGTATGTGGTGGTTATAAAAGTAACACCCAGAGATGGTGTGATCTTCCTCATGAAAATGGAATTTAAAAACCACACGGCGAGGTGGAACCTTCCTGTTTAGGGTCCCAAAAATAATACTAGGTTGGTGTTCTCAATTTTTTTTTAAAAAAAGATGCATTTGCCCAAAGACACTTGCCTGTTATATAGTCTCAGTTCTCCAGCACAAAATTCACATCTTCCTCCTCACCCCAACGTGTAGTGAATGTTGAAGACCTCGACTCTGCTCTTCCCTGTGAAGACTATAACTGGAGTCATTCAGCTGCATATAGACCATGCTTCATTGTGGATTAAAACAAAAACTCCGCTACCTTGGCAGAACAGTGAAATCGCACCCCTAACTATGATTTTAGCTCCTTCCTTGTATAGGGTATTGGAAATGGTCATGTAAATAACACTAAGGTTAGCCCCTCACCCACTGTACAGCTGTCTGAAGGCCAGCACTATGGTCCGCCATAGAATGAGCTGATAGTTTAATGGGGATATTTATCTTGCTGTGGAAATATATTAATTAATTGCTTATGCTTGTTTAAATAAACACTTTTGTTTTAAAAATGGTAAAGCTTTTTGTACAGATCAGTAACTTTTCCATTGCACTGTTGTACTAATGCATTCAAAATTAAAATTCTTCTATGGTTAGAAACAAGAATGTGTTGGTGTGACTCTCCACACCCAGAGCATGCAAAATGCCTGCAGCTCTTCACCAACAATGTTAAAACGGGGGCGTGCTTGTGACCTGGCGGAGCCCAGGCAACGCGTCAGGCGGAACTGGAAGTCTGTGATCCAGCGCGGGGATGTTGAGCATGCAGAAGTGCTGCTGAACAGAGGCCAGTGGGAGAACCTTCCGCTTCTGAGCTCTCACAGTACAAAGCCGCATGAACACGTCTTGGAGCCTCGACTTCAGGCTTGCTCTTTTAATGGTGCAAGCACCCTTGCTTGCTCTTGCCTTCCTCTGGAAAACAGTAAATAAATAAGGTGCAACTACAGGTCTGTTTCCCACAGTAGGAAATGCCCAGAGAGAGCACGAAGGCAGCAACCCTGAGTTCTTGTATGCAATGTGGTGATCAAGACCGCGTTTATTTTCATTCATTCATAACTTTTGTGTGCCGTCCCCCATGCAAGGCGTCTCTGAACGGCTCACAGTCAAAACATTAAAACCGTGTTAGTGTCATGCAAATGCACAGCACTTTGCAGCAGAATGAATGGTGCCCATGGTGTTAAAGCAGGGAGGCAAGCGTGGTCGTGGATTACTTGGATCTACATTTTGGGCAACGTGGAGAAAACAGCTGAGCAGGGAGGAACCGGGCCAGCGTCACAGCATGTTCATAGGCCTGTGCAGATAGCCTACCACACGGGACAGCCCCTTTAGCATGCTTGAATAGGTACCATTCATCTTTATACCACCAGCCTTCCCCCGACCTGGGCTCTGGCTGCATCGCAACTCCCACCCTTTTCAGCCAGCACAGCCAGCAGCTCTTGGGTTGCTAGGTCAGAAGTCCCAGCTGAGGCTCCAAGGCACACCAACATGCTAAATAAGTTAGGGTGGCATAGAATGGAAGAGTTGGAAGGGGCTACTAAGGCTGTCGGTACCAACTCCCAGCTCAGTTCAGGACTCTAAGGCAGAGTTGAAGGGGGCAGTTCATTGTGAAGATCAGATGATGGTGAGAAGAAGGGCTTAGAGTTTTAAGATACTGAATACTTTGAACAAGCTTAAACCACAACAAAAGCGTGGGATCCATTTACGCTGCAGTGAAATCGGACTATTGGCGCTTAGTGGCAAAAAGTCTAAATGGTAGCTTGTGCATGAGTCCCCTGAGCAATCAGTTGAAATTGGTCAGCCGTGGTTATGATCTGCATATCGCAACTACGCATGTGTTACCCCATCTAGAAGCAGTGGCCATAGTGCTAGCAGATTCAACAAGTATATTCCACATACATCCATGAAAATCCTGCAAGACCTATGAAATTGAGTTAATTTTAAAAGAGGAAGCCTAAAAGAAAATCACAGGATGCAGGACAGTCAAGTTGGGAGGATCAACTCTCTTTAGGATCGTTCTGTATTATTCAAAAGCATTTAAATGGATAAAACACCTCCTGAGGACTAAGGAAGGGACATCCAAAGTCAAGAAGACACCTTGGTGGCATGAGCAAAGCGGAGTTATAAAAGACAGGTTACCTTCAGAACAGGACTGGGCAACTTGGAGCCTTTCAGATGTTTTTGCCTGCAGGTCCCATCAGGAGCAGCCAGCAAGCCGAAGATGAGGTTCACAGCAGTAATAAGCCAAAACTACTACACCCCTCCTTCAGGCGTGCTTTGAGAGCGTCCAGGACCAGGTCAGCTGGTAGAAGACATCATCTGCTTGGCCTTGTGGACATGCGCGTGCATGTGAGTGGGTGGATATTTGGAACTAAGTCCCTTGTAAAGGCTTTGGTATTTCCCAGACTTCCAGATGTGCTGGTCTTCAACTCCCACCAGCCCCAGCCCAGCATTGCCAATGGCCAGGAACCAGAGCAGGTCGTTCTGAGGTGATGCACCTCCTCTTGTGAGTGGGTGTTTTGGGTTCATGGGGGACTGCAAATATTTGCCTTTATTTCTTGCACGCTGCTGTGCACTTTGTCCAAGACTGGTCTCGTTCCAGCGGCAACGGCACCAGGGTGGCCACAAGCAAAGCTGTGCAGTCCGTATGAGTGCAATTCCTTTATATGACAAAAAGATTGTAAGATCTTGAAATTGCCAGATCTCGCCCATAGAGGAGGCATTTTCTAGCAGCTTGCCTGCTGAAGGAATCTGGAGATCTTGAAGGCTGCCCCATTTTGGCTGGCCTAAGAAAGGTACATGTTTTGAGCTAAGTCATTGCTTGCTTTGCATCATTCCGGATGACCAGCAGAGGGTGCCTTGTACAACAGAAAAAAAAGTATTTTGCTGGAAGACATGGCTTATTTGCAAGTTTTTTTTTTTTTTTTTTTTTTTGTGATAAATTTGGGAAATGTATTATGGCTAAGTGCAAGACCTATTCAAGCGGAGGTGTCATGGATGATAAATCGGACATGGCAAAGTTGATTAATATGTGGCTCCAGTACCTGACCACGCAGTTCTGATCCAGCTTCCCCCTTTGCGCGAACAAAGAAATATCCCCGACATGAAACGCTTCTGCTTCGAATTAAGGCAAGAGGTGAGTGACTGTTTGGGCTTGGCAGCTTGAGCACAAGTCACTGGGCTGCTGAGAGGTTCTCAAATCAGTGGAGCCGTAGCTTGCTGGGTCCGCTGGCCAACTTCCCAAACGCCTGAACTGCCTCTTGGCCCTGCTGCTCTGGATCCAACCCAGGCTGCTCGTGAAACTGTCTCTTGGTTGTCTTAACCTGGAAAGACAGAGCAGCTGTTGCGGTGCTGATCAGCGCTGAGCACAAAGCCAAGCACCCTGCAGGAGGGGGCAGGAGGTGCAGGGCGCTGGCCAACTCATCCAAGTTGGTGACCCCCTCCCCCAGTGGAGGAAGATTTGGAAAGCTACACTGGGGGCGGAGGCTATGGCGGTTTGCCAAGCATGAACTTGCAAGATCCTGTAACTGCATCCCCCAAGCGCTGTGTTCAGCTGCCCTGCCTGTGTATTTATTGGGGATGCAAACTGCCTTCGTTCTGGAAGTTCATGGTAGCACTCATGGGTCTCCTTTTACTGGGGCTGATGAGACGTGTGGTGCAGGGCCTGCCTGGACTCAGACTAAGGAGAGCTGAGCAAAACTCTCCCCGTTAGGTCAGCTTGGGGACAATTTCAATCAGCCAACCTGCCTCAGGTTTGTTGTAAGGAAGAAAATGACCACAGGTGACCTCTGTACATCACACTAAGCCCCTGGGGGGACGGCCAGGCTGCAGCTGTGGTCATGACTTCGAGAAGCAGATTTGGTGGGTAGCCGGAAGCCACCTTGGGTGAGATTTCATGGCTCCGAGACCGACTCCCCAGGTGTGTACTGGCTGGGATTGATGGACCTGTAGGCCAAAGCATCTGGAGGGTGCAGGTTGCACCTGTGATCTCCTGTTCCCAAATGCAAATGGAGACATGGCTGTGCTCCTGAAGCTTCCCAACCCAGTCCTCGAGGCCGCGCTTTGTTGCAGGAGTGGGAACCCGCTGAGGGCAGGGCCGAGCTTCTCTGTAGGCGTTTGAAGCTGGCTCACCGTCAGTGGCCCGGGAGCTGTATGTGGCCTTCCGTGGGCCCCTCCCACAGGTGTCCCTTGCCTGGCCCCGGCCCCGACCCTGGCCCCTTGCCTGCCAGCATCCTTCCCCTTCTGTTTTCCCACCAGTGGCCCTGCTCCCCATTCCCTCCCCAGCCAGGAGTACCAGGCATGGAAAGCATGCTTGTAGACACAAGTCCAGATGTGCTGGCGTACAACTCCGATCCCCAGCCCTGTCTGGAAGGCACTGGGGGGTGGGAACTGACTAAAGGCCCAAAGGATTCTTGAGTTTGGCATTTGGGTTTGACTCTGTGAAAGAGAAAAGAACGTGTTTTCCAGTGTTGTGGGAAAAGGAACAGATGTGACGGCTATGCCAGGATCTCAAAACCTCGCTTTTCTTCAGGTGCGGCACTGCTCTGGGCTTCGTGAATAGGGTCAAGCAGCCGCACAGAGACTTGTGGAAAGTATTTTCTTCACCAGATGAGCAAGCAAAGGTGGCAGGCTGGACTGTGATGGGAAGAAGTATTTGTTGGCTCCCGCACAAGGATGCTAAACGGATGGGCTTGAACAAGACGGCAAGGTTTTGGCTTGGATCCTTGTCAAAAGAAGCATGCCAGAACAGTTCCAAAATTTCTGAATGCCTTAATGGGTAATAAGGATGCACGTGTGTTTGGCAGAGGTGCCTCTTCTGTTGCTGGAAAGAGGGAAGTTTATATAACCAAAGTGTTTGGGAACCGAGGAGCTATGCTGAATCTATCTCAGTATCGGTTCTCCCAGGGCTGGGCATCTTCTAGGGGCTAGTTGCCCACACAGGGGTGTATACCTGCCCCCTGCTCCCACTTGGCGAGCAGCTTTGCTAACTCACTGTAGTGGCACGGGGCAAGAAGTGGCCACATTGCTTCCAAACAGGCGCATGCTCTCCGTGCAAAATCGCCTGTTGTAGCGGCAAATTGGGTAGCGGCAGCTGCAGGGTCATGGGAAAGGCAGCAGCGCAGGCTAGGAGTGGGTGCAGGCAGGCTGCGTGTTGCCCACCCTGGTCGGAGATGATTGGCAGCTGCCCTCTGGGGTTGCAGGTGTCCTTCCCAACCCTGCCTGATACCGAACCTGGGAACGCCTGCAGGCAGCTTAGGTGCTCTGCCACCAAAGTCTCTCCATGACTGGGAAAAAATCTGGGTATTGTTTGTCCCATGGGAGGTAGGACTCTTTCAAGCCTGAAATATTTCTTTCTACCAGCCTTTTGCAAACATTTTATGGAAATGAATTCCTACCTTCTGGCTGGCCGCAGGCACCCTTTGCTGTAAGAGCCAACCCCCCCGTCCCCATGGGATAAAGTTAATTCACATTCTCTGTGAGCTTAACTGAAACCCAGATCAAATTAAAAAGTCTGATTAACCCAA